TTCGGCGTTTCGGCACTGGGCGAAAGAGGGGGGAAGAGGGGGGAGGGGTCTGGCTCCAGACCTCTGCTCAGTGCGACCGTGAACAGCAGTGCGTCCTATGGGGGAGGCTCCACCTGCAAGAAACGGGCGCCAAAAACAGCCAAGATCTACTCCATCGGGGGGGGGGAAGGGGGGGGGGAGTCGAGGGCCCGCGACGATCAGCAAGACAGTGCATAAGAGAACGATCACGTGTCTCGATCGACTCCATACGGGCTGCCCGAAATGCAAGAGCATCTTCCCCGGAGGCCAGGTCTCCCGCACCACAGGGTGCCCGCCGCCGCGGCGCGCAAACAAGAGCGCCGCGCGCGGCGCAGAGGAGGAGGAGGAGGAGGAAGGAGGAGGAGGAAGGAGCGAGCACGAATTATTTGGGAGGCATTTTTTAGGAGGAATCGAGGAGCAGCAGCGTGAGGAAGGCGCGGTCCCCCACCCCCCCCAGGAGGCCCGGAGCGGCCACGGGAGGCCGCCGCCGTGCGCCCGTGTGCCGCGGCGCGCGAGCGTGCCTGTGGGGGCACGGCCGGTGCCCGCTCGGCCTCGGCGGCCTTCGTCTCTCGGGGAGGGCTCCGCCGGGAGCCCTTCCCGAGGCTCAGGGAGGGCCACCCCCTCGGGGAGGGCTCCCCTCGGGGGCCACCCCCTCTGGGAGGGCCACCCCCTCGGCCTCGGGGGCCACCCTCTCGGGGAGGGCCACCCCCTCGGGCCTGCGAGGACCGCCGCGGCTCCTCCGGTGGCCTCCAGGTGGTCCCCCCCGGAGGGCCTCTGGCGGCCTCCAGTGGCTGCTCCAGCGGGCCACCGGGAGCGCGGGAGAGCGGGACGGAGCGACAGCGAAGAGGGTTCCCAAGACTGGCGGCGCGCACGGGGGGTCGGAGGAAGGGGGCGTGCTTCTTGGAAGGAGGCCGCCTCCTAGATGGCGCCAGGCCTGCACCAAAAGACAAGGCCCGCGCCTTTTAAGAAGCAGGGGTGTTTCTGAGAAGCCCTCCCTCCCCCCAGCCCCCTGTGCGCGTGGCTAACTCCCCTGGGAGAGACGTAAGACTCGAGTTCGAGGGACTCGGGTTGGCCTGACATGGCCAGCATGAAAGTGACTAAACATGGTCTGAAAATTGACGCGAGCTCCCAGTGCAGACATCAAACGAAAACTGGGCCATCAAAATCCAGGACGCGCTCGCCAAAAAGCGTCGGCAAACCCGTGTTCCAGCGCACTGGAGTCTTACGTACCGACCCTACCCCTACCTCAAAGTACCATGTGGGACCTGCTCTAGAACAGGAACGTAACGTAGACGGATCTATCCTTTCTCCGACCCTTCACCGCGCCGAACGCAACGGCCACGTTGTCCATAGACGTGTATAAACTGAAAGCGTCTATGGACGTCACGGTACCCATTGTGCCCCATTGTGCTCCAGATGTTGGCCTTCTAGAAGCAGGTAGGCTTGGCCCTCCAACCCCTACCCCTGAGGGGCAGCGATAGGGGGAGACTGGCATAGGGGGGGATGCATCGACCTGGAATCGGCGACCCATCGCCGATAGATCGGCGATAGGTCTCCCATCGTGAACCCGCACCTTCCTGGGCAGGCTGGGGATGTCGGGCCCCTATGGGCGATCCATGGGCGATTGGGGGTCGATGTATCCCCCCCTATGGCTATCCCACCCTGTCGTTGCCCTTGAACCCCCTCTGCGCGTGGCCGACTCCCCCGCTCAGACCACGCTCCTCCGCGCTGCCATGAGCGGGCGGCCGCGGCGGCCAAAGGCCGGCGGGGATGGCGGCCCGCGGAGGTGACCCCTGTGCCGAGGCCCTCCGCGCGCCCAGCGCGCGCTGCCCGTGGCACAGCCGGCGCAGCATCTAGCCCGGACCCCCGATCCCAGATCCGATAGACCAGCGCATTCCAGCACAAGTAGCTCTTCGCACATCTCGCCATCGCTCGGACGTCCATTCCCCGTGCATTTTTCAATTTCGTGCGTGTTTTCGTGGCTCGATGATCCAGGATGCTCCTCGATGGCCCTCGCCGAGGAAAAAATGCACGCGCCCGAGCGATGCCAGGACATGGTCTGGATCCACAGCACGGAGGCAAATGATTAGGCTCCACCGCATCGAGGCAAGCGTCTGTTGTTTGGGCGCTTGCCAGTAGAAGCGTTTTGCGAGTGGTGGATGCACTCGGTGATCCAAGGAGCATAAAGAAAAACTCCCGAAAGCCTCGAAGCTCGAACGACGACGACGACGACGACGAAGACGACGACGACGACGACGACGACGACGACGACGACGACGACGACGACGACGACGACGACAACGGCGGCAGCGGCGACAACGGCGGCGGCGGCGGCGACAACGGCGGCGGCGGCGACGACGACGACGGCGGAGGCGGCGACGACGACGAGGACGACGACGAAAGCCTCCGAGGCTCGCCGAGGGCCGCCGCTGGCCGCCGAAGGCCGCCGGAGGTGGCCAGAGGTGGCCGCCGAGGAGGCGGCCTCCGGGTCGAGGCCCTCCACGCGCCAGCCGCGCTGCCCGTGGAAGAGGCGGTGGAGCACGTAGCGCACGGCGGGCGCGTCGACCCGGCCCTGGGCGTTGCGCGGCACCGCCGCCAGCAGGGGCTCCAGCGCGGCCTCCGCGCCGAGCTCCTCCTCCTCCTCCTCCTCCTCCTCCTCCTCCCTCCTCCTCCTCCTCCTCCTCCTCCTCCTCCTCCTCCTCCTCCTCCTCCTCCTCCTCCTCCTCCTCCTCCTCCTCCTCCTCCGCCTCCGCCTCCGCCTCCGCCTCCGCCTCCGCCTCCGCCTCCGCCTCCGCCTCCGCCTCCGCAGCCCGAGGGTCGGCGGCCGTGCGCGGAGCCGCCGCCGAGGCCGCCCGCCCCGGAGGGTCGAGGGCCGCTGGGCGTCGAGGATCTCGAGGGTCGCGGATCGAGGCTCGCGGTTCGGCGGGGTCGGAGGTCGAGAGTGGAGGGGATCGAGGGGTTCGATGGGATCGAGGGGAAGGAGGAGGAGGAGGAGGGGAGGAGGAGGAGGAGGAGGAGGAGGAGGAGGAGGAGGGTCGAGGGGTTCGAGGGTCGAGGGGACCGAGGGTCCGAGGGCCCGAGGATCGAGGATCGAGGTCCGAGGACCGAGGTCGAAGTTCCCGGGGTCGAGGATCGAGGATCAGGGTCAGGGGGGTCGAGGATCTCGAGGCGGGAGACGTCGAGGCTCGAGGATCTCAAGGCCTCCAGCCCTCGCGGATGCCGGCCGGAAAAGACGGTGCCGGCGGGAGCCCAGTCGGCGCTCGCGCCACCCGGCGGTGGCCGACGGATCGAGGCTTCGAGGGAGGAGAGCTTCGGGGATCGAGGCCCGAAGACTCGCGGTGCGGCACCAGAGGGGGGAGGTCTCCAGGCACGACGGTCGGGCGAGGAGAAGGCGTCAAGGGTCGAGGAACAAGGGTCGAGCGCGAGAGAGCAGTAGAGAGGGTAGTCACCATCTTCCTCCTCCCACGTCCCTCCTCCTCTTCTTCCTCCTCCTCCTCCTCATCCTCATCCTCCTCCACCACTCGTTCTGCCCTGCTAGATAATTCTCCCCTGTCGCACCACCAAAAACGGGCCGAACGCTTCGTGTGATATTCCGTACCGCATGCGATGCGGAAGACAACCAGACTTCAAAAACGAATCGCTCGCCTTGGCGCTGCACACATTCAATGCGGAGTTCGCTTGAAACTTCCTCCAACTCTACGACGCAAGGGTCCCAAACACAAAAGCCCTTTGGGCTCAGGTGGTCTAATGATGAAGGGGCCCTGGGACACACAAATAAATACACACAAATAAAAAGATCCCCCATATTTTCCCATATCTTCTGGGTTTTTGTCTTCCCGCCCAATTCCCATAGTTTCCCATATTTTCTGGAGAATCGACGATTAATTGTGTCTGTGGAAATGAATTAAGTCTTTCCTCTTCCAAAAACATCTTCCTTTCTGGGAGGTTTACCTCCCCCCTCCCTGGGTTTTCTCGGACCGAGCCGCGAAGCGTCAGAGCGCCTGGCATGGCCCAAGATGGCTCCAAGAGGGCCTCCGCTGCTCCACGATGGCCTCCATAATGAGTCCAGATGGCCGACGATAATTCGAGGTATCTTCCAGCATATCTCCAAGAGGCCCGACGAGGGCCACAAGATTGTTCCAAGTACCCTCGGTGACCCCTCTGGACCCCCCCCCCCAGGAGGCCAAGATCCGTCGAAATCCAAGGAGCATCAAATATGTTTCACTTCGCGCCCTTTCGCTTCCGATGCGTTTTTGAAGCCTCGGGATGGCCCCAAGGTGGCCCAAGAGAGGCCCCTCTTGAGAGGCCCTCCAGACGGCCCCAAGAGCACCCACGAGCGGCACATGAGCGCCCCAGGAGGTCCCCAAGAGGCGATGTTGCTGGTCCCCAAGAGGCCCTCAAGGCCTCCTACCAAGGGACCCCCAAGAGGGCTCCAAGACGGCCCCAGGCCAAGACCCACCAAAAAAGCCCGAACGGAACCCCAAGATCGCCCAAAACAGTCCCAAGGAGGCTCCAAGACGCAATTGTGAGGGTTCTGTCCTCGTCCTCGTTGTCCTCATCATCCTCTTCCTTTTCCTCCTCCTCCTCCTCCTCCTCCTCCTCCTCTTCCTCCTCCTCCTCATTCTCATCCTCATCCTCATCCTCATCCTCCTCATCGTCCTCCGCCTTGCCCTCATCGTTTTCCGCGTATGTGTCATCATCTTTCTCGTCGTCGTGGTGGCCGTCGTCGTCTCTTCTTCCTCATCCTCCTCTTCTTCCTCCTCCTCCTCCTCCTCCTCCTCGTCCTCCTCCTCCTCCTCCTCCTCCCCCTCCTCCTCCTCCTTCTCCCCTCGCCCCCACGCGGTCTCCGGGGATCGCCCGAAGAGGCCCTCCAAGGCCACCCCGTTGCTCCCAGAGATCTCTCTGCTCACCCTGGATGCCCGCCCTGCTTCACTAGATGTCTGTGTTCGTCCCTTTTCCGGTCAACTCTCATGGATAGAGTTTTTGATTGGGCTGACGGGAGAAGCGTAAAGAATTGTGCAAGAGCTACTCGGATGGAAGGCGGCTCTTTCTCAGAAAGGGGCGATCGCTTCAGATGTCCCCGAATTTCATGATCCTGAACTCTGAATCATGTGCAACACTTACAATGGTGAAACGCAAATACTTCATAAACTGAACTATCGCTGGACACGTCTTATGAACATCCTACCACTTTGAGCCTCTCTTACCAACAGGATGGACAAGGATCCTTTACAAAATGGTATCTCCCATGGGTAGCAAGGCCACAGGGCTCTCCACATTCAAGGTGGGAACCTCCCTGCAAGTGAAAGAAACTCTTGCAGGGATCTATGAGAGAAGGACTTCAGAGGGGAGGGTATGTTGCAGCATCGTTGATGCATCCTGGATTTACTCTGGACCCTCCTCCTCCTCCCTCCTGTCCCTCTCTCCTCCTGACTCCTCCCCCATCCTCTCCCCTACTTTTCTTACCCGCCAATCCCCCTTTTCCCCGCTTCTACTCCAGCCCCTCCCAGTTCCTCATCGCTCCTTCTCCTCCTCCTCCTCCTCCGCCTCCTCCTCCTCCTCCGCCTCCTCCTCCTCCTCGACCTTCTCCTCCTCCTCCTCCTCCTCCTCCTCCTCCTCCTCCTCCTCCTCCTCCGCCTCCTCCTCCTCCTCCTCCTCCTCCTCCTATCCTCCTCCTCCTCCTCCTCCTCCTCCTCCTCCTCCTCCTCCTCCTCCTCCTCCTCCTCCTCCTCCTCCTCCTCCTCCTCGCTCCTATTCCTCCTCCTCCCCCGCCCCTCCCCCGGGCGGGAAGCCCGGCGCCTCCAAGTGCCGGGCCCGACCCGCGGCTGCTGCGGCCGACCTCCCAGCGAAGACGCTGGCGTTGACCGACAGCTGGAAGAGATCGAGCGCGTCGCTGAGCACTGGTGGGCCCTGGGCCGCCACGGCCACGCCGGCGGCGGCGACATCGGCGGCGGCGGCGGCGGCGACGGCAACGCCGACGACGGCGACGACGAGGACGACGACAACAACGACGACGGCGACGACGACAAGACGACGACGGCGGCGGCGGCGGCGGCGGCGGCGACGGCCACGGCGACGGCTACGGCGACGGCGACGGCGATGGCGAAGACGGCGACGGCGACGGCGACGGCGACGGCAGCGGCGGCGGCGACAACGGCGGGGACGGCAACGGCGACGACGACCTCGACGGCAACGGTGAGAGTGACGGCGGCGACGACGAGCACGACGAAGAGGACCTCAACCCTCCGTCAAAACTGCATAGCAAAGCATGGCCGAACGGACTGAGCCAAGCATCACGGCCGACGTGAAACCAGCGCCCAGTAGCCCGAAAGCTGCCCGGACGAAGAGGACGAGGGCGAGGGCGACGACGACGAACGAACGAAAGAACCACCACAAAGGACAGGTGTCCGGGTCAACCTAACACCAGGTGGGGGAGGCCCTGCCCTCTTACACAGGTTGTTTGAATTCCAACTACACTTGTTCTGAATTGAAAAATCAGCTTCTTGAATGTACAGAACTGGTCCTCATTTCAGAACTAGCTTTGAATTCACAAAAAAACAAAACCAGTCCTTTGCTATTTTTGACAGAGAAGGTACGTATGGAAATGAACGAACATGAACTGAAACTGCGAGACACGAGGAGGAGAGGAGGGCGAAGGCGAGGACAGCCAAGGTCGAGGACGAGAAGCCGCCCCGCAGGGGCGGGGCCTCAGCGGGTGAGGCCTGCTGTGGGGCTGACGCCGCCGCAGGGGCGATCGCGAGGGCGAGGGTGGCGGCGAGCAGCGCGGCGTGCATGGCTGTCTGTGGGCGGCGCGCCAGGGGGGGAAGTGAGAGGGGTCAGGGGAACGAACAATGACATCAAAAACTCGGAGGTCCGCGCAGATTTCTCGGATCGGCGCTGGACCCCCCTCCCTGGCGCGCGGAGCGGCGGCGCCAGGGGCGCCGTCAGGGGGGATCCAGCGCCGATCCGAGAAATCCGCCCAGACCTCCGAGTTTTCATGTTTATGACATTGTTCGCTCCCCGAGGGGCAGGACTTCTCAAAACCTGCGGGGTTTCTCAGAAGCCCTCCAGCATCCCGCTTCTGAGAATCCGTCTCTGTCCCCAGAGAAGGGTCAGGAAGCTTCTCACGAGGCTGGAGGCCTTCCGAGCCTCCTGGGAAGGCCCGGCCCCTCCGACTTCCCCCTCTGGGCTCGCCGCCGCGTCTGGCGGCCCGAGGAGGTTTTTTTGTATACGAAGAGTCGGCTACACGCAGGAAGTGGCCGCAGGCAAGAGAGACCCCAGACATCCAGCGCCTCGAAAGTATCGAAGCGACCAGCTTGTCCCTATGTTTGACCTCTAGAGGCCCGTTCCGGGCCTCGCGACCCTCCAAAAACTGCTCGGGATGGAAAACCGGCCCTTGGGCAGGGTCCGACGGGTCCTGGGGCCCACGTTCAGGTCGAAACGCCGAGTGTTGGGCTTTCGTGCGCGGCATGCCGATCGCTGCATGCGCCTCGGCAGCAGCAGCCTGCGCGCCTGAGCTCAACCACCCATCCCCCACGCTCTCCGAAGGCCGCTCGCCCAAGGGTCGCACTGGCGCAGGGCGCCTCCCCGCGCGTGGCCCAGAAGAGAACGGCTCGCAGAGGGTCCTCTGCGTCCGGGGGGACCTGGTCGACGGAGCGATCTCGAGCCAAGAGCAGCAGGTTCTCCGAGCGGCTCGACCGACCGAAGGGCGGGAGAGGGCGCTCCTCTCCTGAGGCTGGGCATCTCCGCGGGACGCGCGCGGGCTGAAGGCAAGACAGACGACCCCAGAAGAACCCAAACTGTACCATTGTTGACGGCAGCTCGCTGCGCCTGCTCGTCGCAGGGACCGAAGACGACGAGGCGCAACCGAAGACGGCAAGGAGGGGGGGGAAGAGGAGGACAGGGCGGAGGAGGATGGGGAGAGTGAGGGGGGAAAGGTCGCGTTGCGAAAGAGAAAAAAGGAAAGAGAGACTGAGAGAAGGATATAGAAAGGGGGCTGTAGAAGTTGGTTTGCCAAGTGTGTCCTTGGCCCAGGCCTTCCATGACGGGCGATCAACATTGGCATCGCCATGGAATCCGAGGAGAGCGGGACAGAAGGAATTCAACTTGGAGAAATCATGCATGTCCATGAGGATGAAGAGGAAAAGGAAAAACCTGAAACAAGGACGGCACAGACACACGCAATGACGAAGCGAAAACATCCAAGGCAGCCCACAAAAGAGTGCGCGAAGACGCTGGGGTTTCATGTCCCTTTTTTCTCCCTTCTGGTCCATCCCCCTGTTCCTATTGCGTTTCCTTATCATATTATTGATGCTCCTCCTTTTCCTACTGTGTTTGCTCCTTTTCCTCTTCAACATAATCCTCGTCCTCCTCTTCCTCCTCCAGTTGTTCCTCCTCCTCCCCCGCATCATCACCATCAGCAGCATCACCATAATCCCCCACCCTCTTGCGAAATTCCTGAAGAGGAATTGCACGGGCACGATAGATTGTGATATGTGTTTAATCAACGGATTGCACGGGGCGCAACACACCGTGTTCTAACACGCCCCCTCGGCCAGGGTGGTCGATGAGTGCTCGATGAGTGCGACGACTGATGACCTCACGTAAAGCGAACTAAAAGAAGAGTAACAGAATCAAGTGAAAGCTCTGTCGGGTCTCCAACCCAGCTTAAAGAAGTTGCGTCGCTGGGTAGAAGACAAAAGTGCACAGGTGGAAGGCGTCTATACAGTAAGGCGCAAACGCGCATGCCCCACTACGTGTGAGCGTTCCTTTTCTCGGGGCCAGAGGATGCCAAGACAACTCTCCAGTAGCGATGTGCCCGGCAGACGGGACGCGAACAGATGGAGGCCGCCAAGAGAAAGGTGCACACTCGGCGGCCCCAACCTCTCCGAGACCTCTGCACAGATCTGCAGGGAGGGAGCTTTAAAGCAGGGAGGGCGCTTGAGCCAACAAGGTCACGGAAACAACACTCAGACGCGATGCAAGCCAGCGACCTTCACGGCGGTCCAACCCCGAGAGAGAAGCTAACAAAGACGTGTTAAACACTAGGCATGTGAGCGTTCCTTGTCTCGGGGCCAGAGGATGCCAAGACAACTCTCCAGTAGCGATGCGCCCGGCAGCCGGGACGCGAACAGATGGAGGCCGCCAAGAGAAAGGTGCACACTCGGCGGCTCCAACCTCTCCGAACTTGCTCCAAAGCACCATCTGGCCGCAGGCCTTATATTTTACCGAATGGCTTACAGAGCGGGCGGAAAATGCTGTCAGCAAAAGCGCGGACAAACACGGCGCAGAGCCGGGGAGGGTAAGGCTCTGCTAGCTTACTGAACTTGACACCGCTCGGATGGTTGCCGACGATTTCAACATGCTTTTTGCTGGAGAAAGAGCACACACACCACGGCCAGAACATGTGACATTGAGATGCTTACATGAGATGTGGGCACAGAGAAACTTCGTGCGCCTGCGCCACGGAGCGCCCCAGGCGCAGTAATCTGTGACACAAGTTTCTACACAGGAGCTTCGCGCGAGGACCTCGAAGGCTCTCACATTCCAAGGCAGGCTCGTGCGAGGATTCTCTACCACGCACGGCACACTGAGTCTTCGGCACAGATCTAAAACACTGAAGGCAACTTTGCATAAGCGATTGGCCATGTCGACTATACGCTGATCGGCAAGCGAGAGAGAGGGGAGGCCGAGAAGGAAGGCACGCGACCGAACCGGTGAGAAAAGGCATCGGAGGGCCGAGAAGGAAGAGCACGGCGGCGCCAGCCAGATCGCCGCGATCAAGCCTGCGCGAACCCATCCGCGAATTTTTCGGACGAGGCTCTCATTTAGCAACTCAAAGTGCGGGCCATGTCGAATGTCGATCTCGAAAATCTGACTATTCTGCAAAGCTACAGCTCGCCGCCATGCTCGAGCAAGGCGGCCTGAACCAGAAAAGATCTCTAGAGCAAACTGTTGTCCCATCACAGCTGCCTGGCGGGCAGCGGCCTCAAGATCTGCGAGCTGATGCGGGCGGCGGCAGTGTGAGCCTGGCGCTGCACGGCGCGCGAGCCCATGCTGCTGTCGGATGCCTGTTGCCCACGCTTCTTGATCTCGAGAGGGCGGGCGTGGGTGGCCAGCTCGCGGATCGCCCCGCGGTGTCGGAGCTGGCACGGCGTGGGAGGCCCCAGGTTGCCGAGGACCTTGTCTAACCGCGGCCAGGAAGAACAGGGCGGCCCAGCTCGAGTACTTCAGGTCGAGCAGAGGCGGCGTTGCGCCGAGGCCGGCCCTGACCCGTGACAGCAGGCCTCCCACCCGACCGAGCACCGTGTTGTCGTGGCTCAGCGGCGGGCCGAGCCCGCCCGTCCTTGGTGGCGTGCTGTACTCCGACTCGAACGGCCGCAGGGTCCACACCGCCAGAGCTCGAGGTCCCTTCGGCGACAGGCCCTGCCGACAGCACGAGGGGGCCATCAGGAGGAGGGCGACCACCGACCACAGGTAGCCCTGGAGGAACAGCGCGTGAAGGTAGGCCGTCACCGTCGAGACGAGCTGGGTGGTGCTGTCGATCACCCAGCTGGCTGCCGCACACCACAGGCAAAGCTGAGCCACAACGTGCTTGCACCGAGCTTCCTGATGCTTCTTCACGATGCGCCTCCCAAGCAAGAACGGGCCGATCTCGTCGACCGTCGACCCCGTCACGTAGTCCTGGTGGCGGCGAGCAGTGGTATCGGCTCGCAGGCCTGGCTCGAGGCCGCTGGGCGATGCCAACGGTTGTGCCACGGGCTGCTTGCGGCACCTCCGAGCTGTCGAAGGCCTCGCTGCTGGCGGCCGCGACAGGGGCATCAGCGGGGCAGAAGTCGACGCCAAAGGCCCGTCCGAGCCTGGCTGCAAAGGCGCGGACGCGGCTGCCCCGCTGGCCGCAGGCGTCCCCGTTCAGCGGAGCATGTCGCGGCCTGGGCAGGACAACAGCCGGAGGGTCGGGCGCACGGGGCTTGGCTGACGCTTCGGCCCAGTCACCCTGCCTGCGCCTTGAGCCCCGATCTGCAGGATTGTGCTCTGAAGGGAGCCACCGCCAGCGAGAAGTCATGTTGAAGGCAAGGTTGAGACCACCGATCTGACGACAGACTCGCATCAACCGCGAGGATGAACGGCCCTTGGACACGGCAAGGATGCTGGCCATGGCGTCACCCAAGTACAAGTGGCGCTTCCCGAAATTCGCCATGGCACGTGTCTTGCGGAGATGAGCTAGGACCATGCCACGGCCCTCGAGGAACACCTGGGCCTCCGAGCGGGCCCACCGTCTCACCAAGACCCGCCGCCATTCGCCGTCCCATATACTCGAGTCAATGTCGATCTTATCCTCTGGAACCTCGGGGGCGGGCCCGTATATGTCGAAGCCTCCTAGAAGGACGAGCGAGAGAGCATGATCTCGAGGTCGATAACCCAATTAATCTTCACGAGAAAATCTCCACCTCTCATTAAATCGACCGAGCGACTTGACAGTACTGACGTCCACCTTCTGCTGCACGATACACCCTCCCCAAGATGACGCATCGACAGCGAGAACCCCCTGAGACCAAGCAGCCCCAAGATTTTGGGATGCGAGAAAGATGAGCCCAGCGGGCCAGCCCAGCTCACGTCGAACAGAGCCCCAAAGACGGCGGCGATGAGGACCAGCGCCAGCTGCAAAAGAGTAACAGGCCGAGAAAACGCACAACAGCTCGCGGCGGATGAGAGCACGCGTCGTGTAATGAGACATGATAACCGTCAGGGTCTCCCCACTGACATACCCCTCCTTGAGGATCTCTGAATAGCCAATCTGATATTCCAGACGATGCGAGGACTCAGGCCAACTGCAGCGTTTTCATCGGAGAAGGTCCACCCTAGAGCCGTCGCGCCAGGACCCGACTCCACTGGATGCGTGGGAAGATCCACCCCACTCAACTCCTGCTGTACCTCCTCAGCCACGCCCCTGACAACCTCCCGATCCTTCCCGAAGGCGAAAAAGTTATCAACATACTCGGTGTGTGCGAAAGGCTCCAGACACAGAGGGGGGAGATGATCGACGACGGCATTGCTTTCAGTCACGCCACGAACCCTCCTGGCTCGATACTCAAGTACTTGTTGGCAGGCCCAGAGAGAAAGCTTCCAGCCCATCGGGATCACCTTCAGGACTGGCAGAAGGTATTGGCCCCGTCTGACAGCGCGGCCTTGGGCCGTCCGGACATTCACCAGGTCGGCTCGAACCCTCGGGAGGACGAACATGTCACGAAGAGCTTCGGGGAATTGCATGTTGTAAAAAGCGTTTACGATATCGACCGAGCCGACCTGGATGGGAGCCGCACTGTCAACCTCTATGGCCGAGAAGGCAGCCCCCGACGCCAGCGCCACGGGGTCGCTATCACGAAAACGGCAAGGTGGTAGCCTACCATCGACTATCAAGCGGTACTTCCCTGACTTCTTATAAACGAAGAACAAGCCGCACGAGACCTCACCCGACAGGTGCCACTCGATCAGGTCGCAATCGGCCAGCCTACGCAGCAACTCCGCGTAGAGGGCGGGCGACCGTCTGAGGGCGGGGTCCGAGTAAGGCCGGGCAGGTCCCTCGCGCTTAGCTATCTCCCTGTCAGTAGTTTCTGGCAAGCGCAATTGAATTAACCGCTCAGCAATCTCTTTGCCCCGATCACCAGCCAGATGCTCGAGAGACCGCGAAACAGATCCAGCCGCTGGTAGGTCGACCAGGTGGACGGAGTCCATGCTGAGGGGAGCAATCACGGCGCCGTCGCCGTAAGCACTCTTTGCCCGAAGCGCTCGAAGGGCTCCTGGGCCGTTCAGATCGTCCGGCGGCGGCCCCACCGAGATGACCGACTAGCGAATCATGTTGAGACTGGCCTGCTGGCTAGCGGTGGGGCCCTGGGTCTTCCGGGGACAAGATGAACCAAGATACAAATCATTCAAAGCACCGGTGACCTCGTCACACACCTCGTCAACGTGGATGGTAAGAAGCAGCTGGCGTCGGGTAGACCTGCCACTGTGTACAGCAGTTCCTCTGAAACCCCGATGCAAAACTGAGGTGGGTCGAGGGAGAGGCAATAAGTTACGCTGCCGCTCCTCCGCCCAGAAAGGATGACTGTGAGCAGAATGCCTTCCCGGTGCAAGTCCAGGAGGCCCTCCCTGAAAGGCGTGTTCGCGATGGGGCTGGTCGGGAGGTCGGTCCAGCCCCGGTAGGGTAAGCATCACCCCTGCTCCTGATGTCCGTCCTCTCCCTGCTTCACGAGCTCCACCGCCTCCTCGTAGGCCTTGCTGACCGGCATGAGGATCGCTGCGTGGCGCTCGACCTTGCCAGGCTCGCGGGTGATGGGGTCCAGGTGGACCATCGTCACCCTCGAGTCCTTGGTCGCCCCCAAGAAAATGGTGGCCTCATCGAGCACCGCGAGCCGCAACGAGGATGAGATCCTCTTGTTCTTGCCCTTCGGCCCCAAGAGGGGTGGGGCCACGAAGTCCATGTGGTATACGCACTCAGCCACAGCGCCCTCCCGAGAAGGCGCTCGATCGTGGCACTGTTGCTGACGTCAATAATGTTGCAGTGGAAGTCCTCATCCCAGCAAAGCAAGGCAGTGTCGTGGACTACCCCGCCCCAGTCACCGATCCGTATGCCGTCGGTCATGAGGAGCGAGCGGTGATGCCTGAGAAGCCCTCCGTGTCGGTGAGAGAACCAGCTGCAGCACCACGGGGTGGGCCTGGGCCCGAGCATGGGCCAGTCTCGGGAGGGTGACCCCGCAGCTGAACATCTGATACGACGATGCGACCCCTGAGACGATCCCGTGACACCAAGATCGTGGCCACGATGGCCCTCAAATCGTGATAGCTCTCCATGGTGGGGTACTCCTCCACGGGGCGAGCCAGCAGGTCGCCGAACTCCACGGCCGCACCTGAAGGTGCGGTGAAGATGCCGACCTCGCTCTGCACGTGATCCGTCTCCGCCATGGAAGCGGGAGTCCCGCGAGGGCCGTGAATGGTCGACTCCACCGTCTCCCGCTGAGCCCCAGCGGCATCCGCGGACAAGCCCCCCGCAAGAGGCGCAGCAGGGGTCTGGGTACCAGCTGCTGGCCCCAGGTCGCCCTCCGGCATCACCGCAGGCGGCTGCGCCCGAGGGATGACAGCGCCTCCAGGCGGAGCCACCGTCGGCAAGCCAGCTGCCGCTGCCGGCTGGATATACAGGTCATCAGCGGCCTGACGAGTCTGGCTGACGGACTCCGCGAGCTCGGCTGCACTGGGCGGGCGTCGGAACCTGCGTGCCCCGGCCCGCGCAATCCCGGGAGGGAGGGCCCGTCGATCTGAAGCGAGAAGCACGGCCTGGTAGTAAGGGCTCGACCCCTCACGGTGCTCGAAGTACACATCGGCATCGGGCGTCATGAATCCCTCCAGCAGCTCATTGACTGGAGTCATCCCCTGCGGCCGCAAGTGGTCCCAGACTCGCTGGCGCTGCCAGCCTCGAGCCCCGTAGGGCAGGATCCAAGCCCAGGGCTGGACGGACCCTGACGCCATGACGGTGGGAGGCTGCCAGAGAAACTGATCCACATCGGCCAGCCGTAACGATGAGCTCTGCACCACGAGCGAAGAGAGAAAGCCTAGCACCACGCTCCAGAACCAGCATGAGGGAGGCATCACGTCGGGCACTGGGCAGACTGAAGCTCGGGCAAGCGGCCTGCGTCGCTGTCGGGTACCCAGGGCACGATGGATAACTCAGTAACGAGACAAGTCAGCTGGTACGTGCATGGTGGACTCACGGTGTATGCAGGAGCTGAGGGGCAACGACTGTGGTGCGATGGCGCCCGCTCTCAGCCAATCGGTCACCCGGTTCAGCGAGAACCGGGCTTGCGCTTGAGCCAACAAGGTCACGGAAACAACACTCAGACGTGATGCAAGCCAGCGACCTTCACGGCGGCCCAACCCCGAGACAGAAGCTAACAAAGACGTGTTAAACACTAAGCATATATATATATATATATATACATACATACATACATATATATATATAAAGTCAGTACACACACAACTATGTATAGCACAAAGCGCACAGCGCCCAAACCTGTCAACGCCGGACGCGGCAAGTAGTAAGGGAGAGGAGAAAGAAGCTTTAGGATCACCTGGCGGCAGTGGTGGCGTCTGACGGGCCTGGCCGGCATGGCCGAACTGCCACCATGGTGGCGCGCCTGGTCCAAAGTGCAATCCGAGTGGGAAACTGAAGCACGGTGAGCCTCATCGATGGCCTCACAAAGTTGCGTGCCTGATATCTTAACAGCATCCGAAGCCGTCCTTCCGAATGCGTCTTACACTGCACAATACTGCCGAACCTGCCCGTCGCTTCCCAGAAACTGCAATCGGGGCAACGAGTAGAACAGCGGAACACAGGGCTACATTCCGGCATTATCTTGAAAAAAGTTCCAAGTGCACTGATCGGCCATCCATCGGCCTCATTTGGTCCATAACTGGAAGTCAGTGGCCGGCAGTCAAGCTCGACAGCATACCACTACTTTACGGAGGCGGCAGTAATAACGTCGGCGCCATTGACTCATCCCCGATGAAGCCCTCGATCACCTCGCACTGACTGTAGAAGAGGCCAGGACCGTCCACCCGACCGCCCGCCCATCCCCAGTGGCGAAGCGCATCGTGACAGCTCGTTCATGTGCGAGTTTCACGCTGATTGCTGCGCCTATCTCAGAAGTAACTTCCGGCGCAAAGTATCATGCAATTACTCGACCATGACATGCCAAGAATGCGCCGAACAGATTCAACAACACGCCAGCTTGCATATCCAGGCACGCATCGATAAACACCTGCGTTTTGGACACGTCCTGGCGCGGACAACGATGATCACGCCTCAGCTCGGTAAACGAAGGGTCGAGCTGCATCGGGTCTTACGCAGAGCGGAGATCGCGATGCATCTTACCCTGCCAGTGGCTGATTTGATCTAACCACTGCTCATGAACGCTAGGCCGGCACGCGGGCCACTCGCTTCTCCCCGCAGGGAGCCCTGCCAGGTATTCCAGAGATGACGGTCTGCAAGCATCCCCAGAACGGAATAGGAAGCTGGTCAGGTCATCGGCGGCGTCGTCGTCGTGAATCACCTGGCCAGTTGCATCCTCTAACTCGCGCTCGACAATATCGCTGAGCCACTCAGCGCAAGACCTTCCACCAGTTACTCACACAGATAAGTCTAGCCATTAAATGTCGGTTAAAGAAACAACACTACTGGGGGCATTTTCCTCGCCATCAATGCCCCGGGCTCTTTCCGAACAGAACTTTGGCCGCTTCCGCCGTTTAAAGCAGACACGCGCAAGGCGGCGGGCTGATACAACTGGGCCCAGAGGCCCCGTCGGCGGACATACATATATATATATACAGTACACGCACAACTATGTATATCACAAAGCGCACAGCGCCCAAACCTGTCAACGCCGGACGCGGCAAGTAGCAAGGGAGAGGAGAAAGGAGGTTGAGGATCACCTGGCGGCAGTGGTGGCGACTGACGGGCCTGGCCGGCGTGGCCGAACTGCCACCATGGTGGCGCGCCTGGTCCAAAGTGCAATCCGAATGGGAAACTGAAGCACGGTGAGCCTCATCGATGGCCTCACGAAGTTGCGTGCTTGATATCTAAGCAGCATCCGAAGCCGTCCTTCCGAATGCGTCTTACACTGTATCCACAATACTGCCGAACCTGCCCATCGCTTCCCAGAAGCTGCAATCGGGGCCACGAGTAGAACAGCGAAACACAAGGCTACATTCCCGCATTATCTTGAACAAGGTTCCAAGTGCACTGAAACTGGAAGTCAGTGGCCGGCAGTCAAGCTCGACAGCATGCCACTACTGTACGGAGGCGGCAGTAATAACATCGGCGCCATTGACTCATCCCCAACGAAGCCCTCGATCACCTCGCACTGACTGTAGGAGAGGCCAGGACCGTCCACCCGACCGCCCGCCCATCCGCAGTGGCGAAGCGCATCGTGACAGCTCGTTCATGTGCGAGTTTCACGCTGATTGCTGCGCCTGTCTTAGAAGTAGCTTCCGGCGCAAAGTATCATGAAATTTCCCGACCGTAACATGCCAAAAATCGCGCCGAACAGATTCAACAAAACGTCAGCGTGCATATCCAGGCACGCATCGATAAACACCTGCGTTTTGGACACGTCCTGGCGCGGACAACGATGATCACGCCTCAGCTCGGTAAACGAAGGGTCGAGCTGCATCGGGTCTTACGCAGAGCGGAAATCGCGACGTATCTTACCCTGCCAGTGGCTGATTTGATCTAACCACTGCTCATGAACGCTAGGCCGGCACGCGGGCCACTCGCTTCTCCCCGCAGGGAGCCCTGCCAGGTATTCCAGAGATGACGGTCTGCAAGCATCCCCAGAACGGAATAGGAAGCTGGTCAGGTCATCGGCGGCGTCGTCGTCGTGAATCACCTGGCCAGTTGCATCCTCTAACTCGCGCTCGACAATATCGCTGAGCCACTCAGCGCAAGACCTTCCACCAGTTACTCACACAGATAAGTCTAGCCATTAAATGTCGGTTAAAGAAACAACACTACTGGGGGCATTTTCCTCGCCATCAATGCCCCGGGCTCTTTCCGAACAGAACTTTGGCCGCTTCCACCGTTTAAAGAAGACACGCGCAAGGCGGCGGGCTGATACAACCGAGCGGGCGGAGGCGCCTCTAACAGCCCGCCCTTTGCAAGCCCGCCTTGGCTTGACCAAG